TATACTTAACAAAAATTAAGTATATAAAAAAATTAATTATAGTTTATTTAAGTTGTTAAATTTTTATTTAAAATTTATATCTAAAAAATTAAAAAATCAAATTAAACTAATAATAAAGTTAAAAGGAGAGAGTATTTTTTATAATCATTTTATATAAGTCCATGATTCAACATTTTAAACAATGCTTTACTCAAATAACATTTCAGTTTTGCTAATGGGCTCTATAAATTAGTTGTAGTGTGTTGTTTAGTTGTATTTAATGTGGAAATATTTTTGGAGTGCAAGGATAGGCAGATGTATGCCATGCATATCAATTGCTGAGAAAAGGAGGATTAACGGAAGAGAACATAGTGGTGTTCATGTACGATGATATAGCAAACAATGGGCTAAATCCGAGGCAGGGAGTCATCATCAACCACCCACAAGGTGATGATGTCTATGCTGGTGTGCCCAAGGTAACATGTTTTGTTTTTCTCAAACACCACCGGCTTATGTTATTGCCATCACCTTTCCATAACTTTATATCATAATTGATCATTATACTTTTTAATGTATTAAGAAATTCAAACAAAAAACAAAGTTACAAGAAAAAATATAATACATAAATATAATATTTAATCAAATTTTAAAGATATGATATTAATTATTTAAAATATGATAACAGTACCATACATGAACATATCTGGATCCTAGGAATCATTCTTTAATTATCCAATAGAATTTGGTACTCTAATCTCATAGCTTGTGGTGGTGAGCTGGTTGGTCAACTTTTCATATCATAATATGATGACATGTTGGATGGGCCACCTTAATAGTGACTATTGTACAATAACCACTTGACTTTTTTTATAGGTGCTTAGTGATTTGATAAATATCATATAGAAAATTCACGGTGCTCTTTCATTCATGTCTAAATTCCACCAAAGACTTATTAGAAAGCAAACAAGCTAGTGTTACCCCACCTTTTTTTATGTGGAATAGAAAGCTATTGTCAATTCTTGAAAGTGGAATTTGCCTGGCATCCAATGTGATTGAAAGGTCTTTATTTCTAACTTTGAAATAGTAGATGAACTCAAAATTATTTAGATGACTATTTTACCATCCTGTTCCCTTTATAATATTTAATGCCAACTAGACCCTGAAGAACAATTATTTGAAATTTGAACTCCCTTTAGGCTTCAACTCCATTACTTACCTATATATGATGAAGATTCTATACTGTTCAGTTTGCTTGACTCAACAGTAATATAACTATTCTCTCTGATTGTGTTGTTTGGACCATGATGTTAGGATTATACAGGTGAGCATGTTACGACTGCAAATCTGTATGCAGTACTTCTGGGTGAGAAGAGTGCCTTGTCTGGTGGAAGTGGAAAGGTTGTGGATAGCAAACCTAATGACAGGATCTTCTTATACTACACGGATCATGGTGGCCCTGGAGTTCTTGGTTAGTTCAATCAGAGTAAACTTCATTGCCAGTAAGAACTTAAATGGGAAGGGGGCTTAGGCTAATTTTGGCGTAATTTGACAGGGATGCCAAATCTGCCTTATCTTTATGCCATGGATTTCATTGATGTTTTGAAGAAGAAACATGCATCCGGAGGCTACAAGGAGATGGTAATTAGAAGTTATATCCTTCTGTCATCCAACTTCAGATGTCTTGCCCACTCTAAAAGTACAAGTCATTGACAGATTATGTCTGGCATATGTCTACAGGTTATATATGTAGAAGCTTGTGAAAGTGGGAGCATTTTTGAAGGCATTATGCCCAAAGATCTGAACATTTATGTCACCACTGCATCTAATGCACAGGAAAATAGCTGGGGAACTTACTGTCCAGGGATGGAACCTTCTCCACCTCCAGAATTTATCACTTGCTTAGGGGATTTGTACAGTATTGCTTGGATGGAAGACAGGTACGCTGGCATCTACCTTGGAATGCAAATTTGTTCATTGATTGTGATGGGAATGGGAGGAGCTTGAATCATACTGCTTTTTTTGGTTGGCAGTGAGACTCATAATCTGAAGAGAGAGACGGTGAATCAACAGTATGAAGTTGTAAGTTCTACAGGCTAAAATAACAATTTTATTGATAATTCAACTCTTATTCTTTAGAAACCTCAACTCATTTTCTTCGTGCAGGTTAAGGATCGGACTTCCAACTTCAATACTTTCAATATGGGATTTGGATCCCATGTGATGGAATATGGGACAACAGATATCAAAGCAGAGAAGTTGTATTTGTACCAAGGTTTTGATCCTGCGAGCGTCAATTTGCCTCCAAATTACTTTCGCACCAGTACCCACATGGAAGCTGTTAACCAGAGAGATGCTGATCTTCTTTTCCTGTGGCATATGGTAATCTCGAGCCCTCTTATAACTTCAATTTTTTTTTTTTTTCATCTTCAGTTCACATAATTTGTTCAGAACTTATGCCATTGGACTTGAAAGAAGTTGAATTTTTTTGGTATGTATACAGTACAAGAATTTAGAAGATGGGTCAGAAAAGAAGATGGAAACGCTCAAGCTGATCACTGAAACTGTGAGGCACAGAATTCACTTGGACAGCAGCATTGATTTGATTGGGAAACTCTTATATGGAGCGACAAAAGGTTCAGCTGCTCTTAATCATGTCAGGGCACCTGGTTTGCCCCTTGTTGATGACTGGGAGTGCTTGAAACATACGGTACACCTCAATTTTCTCTCGTTTCCCTCACTTACCTATTATTAATCTATATACCCTCGCTTGCGCTTATTTATTTTAACCATTCCTTTTGCCTTAGGTTCGTGTGTTTGAGACACAATGTGGATCACTAACTCAATATGGCATGAAGCACATGCGTGCATTTGCCAACATTTGCAATAGTGGAGTTTCCCAGGCTTTAGTAGAGGAAGCTTGTATGGCAGCTTGCACTGGCCTTGAAACGAGGCAATGGCATCCCTCAAACCGAGGTTACAGCGCCTGATTGGGGACATTGCAGCAGATGAAAAGATGTACAAAATTAGTGGTTGCAAAACTGTCAAACATTATATACAAAAAGCAGGTGAAATTAATGGTACCTTCTGCAGATATGTGAAGACTGAATAGTACTGTGTTCTCGTCTGCAACTCTGGGCAATGTAAAAAAGCGTGTCTAAATGGATTGGATCTCTTAGTCATTGGTACAAATTGGGATCCGGGTGTTAAAGGTTATGGGCTGCTTTCCTTTCTCTTTGTAGGCCCAAACTGCAAGATCTGTACAGTGCGTGCATGTATAATGTTGGGTTTTAACTGTTCCTCACATGGTTTTTTTTTTTTAATATTGGTAGTATCATCTCTTGTCTTTTATCTAATTTTATTCGTATCTCATGCGATTCAATTTAAGATCTTTCAGTTTTAATGAAAGAAGATGATCATTGAGTTACTTAAGTCATTTGTATTCCATGGTTAACAATTACAATATTAGTAGTTTTTTTTTTTTAATGTATAGAGTAATTGCCAAAAAGGTGTTTCTTCACTGTATGTTGAAATTTAAACTCTTATTTTCTTTATCTCATAGAGATTTCTACCAACAAGTCAATCACAATCATTTAGGATTTTTATTTATTAAAAAATTATTATGTGATCTAAATTATATCTAATTGTATAATTAAAACTATTAGATAGAGATGAAGCCGTTGATATTATGAGTTTTTTCTTATTTAATAATTTGTATGTTATATTCTAATATAATTTAGATTGTAAAATAATTTTTTT